AATCATCTGGACAAGTCACTTGAAAACAACGGATACACATGCGGTTTCCTCCGACTTTAGTTAACCTGCAAGAGCTCAAAAAGAAAGTTACATCAGCTACGACAAGACGTGTAACGCTGCGGTATATGAGTAACATTTATGCAATGACTGCCCTATTGTTCAAACAACATCATATCATGGTATCCCACAAGCCAACCGCCACCCTGAAAAAAACATTGTCAAAACCGAAAGGAAAATGAGGAAGACTAGGACGACGGAATGTCGTATATTGAGTTAAATGATTAAATTGTGAAAAGCACTACGTGGGACAAACAGGAGGGAAGCTGTCAACAAGGATACAAGAACACCAAAACAGCGTGCAAGAAAGATTACGCAACCTCATTGGTTTCAGCACACGTGGATTAAGAGGGACACAGCTTCCACTGGAATAAACTAGATAACTTTACCCAAGGAGAAACACAAAATGTGGGTTTCTCCAAGCCTGGCTCTCAACCACGAAATAAATCAACATGCATATCGACATCAATCAAACACACCATCCAACCTGCAATGGAAACCACCTGTCTAGGGCGATCGGTTGTCTATGGCGAACAGCCAAAATAATCCCCAAAGATTTTCCTATATTTCTAGCCATAACCTGCGTATCGTATCCACCTGTCTAACGAAATCGCGACAATGTCTGCGCGGTCCCAACGTTCTGTAGAACCGGTAATATGCGACCACCAAGCCAATGCTTCACCTACATGCGGAAGTGTGTTGAACGCACCATTTGCGCGCACACAAGTGTTCAAAACTATGTGGTCATCGAGACAGTCGGCGATGCCAGTGCAACAACGTAAGCCGTACTCACACAGAAGTCCAAAATTGGTTGCGCGGTAGAATACTGGAACAGAGGAGGAAACCGTCAATGCGACTGGATGTGTACTTATGTGTGAACAACCCAGTGAACTGCAGTAGAAATGCGGAGAAATCAGTAACAGAACAATTTTCGCGACAGTCGGATGTTGTCGCATCTCATTCCTGCGAACCTGACAAGTTCATAAAAGCCAGCCTGTCATCTCAGGTACATGAAGAATATGGAACCGAAAGCCTCATCATCGCACGGAAGGACACATGAGCGAATGCACCCACGGTTGGCATGTGCGTCCAGGCCCATTAACCCAAGAGCAGAGAACACACGAATGTTGTGGTTCCGGCGAACGACAAATGGTGTTTTGAAAAACAGACCAGAATGGTTCCATAATTCAGGTAACAATGTGCACATGTATTTGCTAGACGACCGCGATGCAGCAAGTGTGACCACGATAGAAATTTATGACCAAAAGAAAGTAGTTGGTTGGTCAGGCCAACCAGAACTTTACTGCGGAGAACTGTTCCTGTTTTGGACCAGTGTCTCAAACATGGATAATGGTGATGCACGTTATTTATTGACTTCCATGCAACCGGAGTTACAATTCGTAGCTGCTGAACAGCACGTGTTGCTTCTTTGGTTTTAACGTCAGTTCGGTTTAAACGTTTCCGAAACTGGCTGAGCATATAACCTTCTGAAACTGGTGCAAAAGTTTGAAAAAGTGGTAGTGTTTATAACGCCAGGAAAACTGGTCAGCCTCGCACCAATACAGATGAGCTTTCGACTCGCAATGTTAATCGCGAAGTAGCCGAAAACCTCGATCTCAGCATCAGTAAAATCGCCCAGCATTTTGACACCACCAATAAGCCTGTTCAGCAGATTTTAAAGGGAAGCGAATATCGTCGGTATGGTGAACTGCAATTGCTATTTTAGAGACTGTGCGATCTGAGAAAACGGCATGCAATTAGCCGCTAGTTCTTGGAGCACCTGGACATCCATTCCATTACTTTCTTACATGAATCTGTGTCATATTTGAACGGAAGCGAGAATCAGTATTATTGGGCAGTATCGAATCCACTACGTTGCCGAGCTTCACTTACGCAACATAGCCCAAATGTCATGGTTTGGATTGGAATAACTGGTAGAAAAATCGTGCGCACGTTTTTCTTTTCCAGCAATCTGACCGGTAGTTTGCTCTTGTGCATTATAAATGCCACGCTTTTCATAGCATCGTCTAGCAAGCAAATGCTACAGACCTGCGTACTTCCGCGGTTGGAGGCCGATGCGCTATGCAGTATCACTTAGTGACAACATAATAGCACACCTAGCGACTATACTCAAAGGTTTTGTGATTATTTGAGCGGGAGTTTCAGCCACCGATGGATTGGTTGGGGCGGACCAACGCGGTGGCCTGCCTGGTCACTTGATTTGCTGTGAGAAATTCTAAAATGCTACCAGAGATTTGTAACTGAGCGTTATATGATCTGGTTATCGTTTTGATCTGGCTGCCATTGCTGCCATTTGCATGCTAACATGCCCCATCAATGCAGGCACCTCATTGCAACTAGACCCTGCTATGCTCAACAGGCAAAGCTGTTCGAATGCTGAAAATACCTTGACGTAATCAGACCTTGTGGGAGTAATTTTTGCTGCCGCACTTTGGAACGACCCTCGTTGGTCCCTGTGGAGGCACTGATGAAACTCAAAGGAACCCTTTTCTGTTACATGGAATTTGACTGATTGATGAATGCGCCTCCGCACTTGTCCTAAGCGAACTAAATTACACACACCCGTACACCCACATGTAGGGCCTCATCGTATGCCCCACAAATAAAACAAATTTTAATCAGATCGATCTGCTTCGAGCCTGTAACCAGATACATGACGAAAGAAAAATTAAACCTAAAACGGTCGTCATCACCTTTTCCGGCTTGTGTGCATTGTTAATAATGCCTTTCCGGGCTGTGCAAGGCCACACAAACGTCCCAACGCTTTATGCACGAAGTCTCTCGTGGGCTAGGCTTCGCCTATCCTTACGTCGACGATGTTATGTTCGCCATTTTATTGGAAGAATAGCACCTCGACCACATCTGTTTTCTCTTCTAACGGTTGAACCGGCACGGTATCACAGTCAACCCAAATAAGAGTGAACTAAGCAAATCAGTTGTAGAATTTCTGGGTCTTCTCGTTTCACTGTTGGGTATCGAAGTTCTTCCTTATAGGATCCAGACAATTAAGTGATTCCCAGCTCCGAACTCATTCAAACACTTCCGTCGACTCTGTGCTCCTTTCAGATACACTTGACTATTCAATGCTAGTTGGGCTTAGCTCATGCAGTCTTTGCTTATTCGCATCCAATACCCTTTAGCCTGTATAGTATACATTAAGTCTAACGGCCGCCAATTTCTCTGTCGTCCCGTATTTAACATGTCTCTTACATGTTATTTTTAACGACTACTTATCCAGGCGCCACCCAACAAGATCATTTGATGAGCTAATTGGACGGAAAAGCAGGGTCCTGCTTTACTTCGCCAAGTCTGTCACCCGTAATTTGCTATTTTAAAGTACACGTTCCACACCACAGTGCACCTTACCCTGCAGCCCATTCTCGCTTTATCATGTTGTTCACTTGAGACTAGGAGTTGATGTCCCCGGGATCACCAGCAGTTTAACAAACGACTGAGTCACAATTTCTAGTCTCCGCCGAGTTTGGTGCCCACAGGACATCACTCTCTTCCTGAAAAGCAGACGGTACAGTGCAGCCGTTTGTTTAACCCTAACGCCAGACTGAATTCCGTAAGAAGATCAACCCGTGTGGTTGCATACGTATATTAAATGCAGGAGGTTAAATGGTAATATAAACATCAAAGCTTTCTTGGTTCAAAGTAGCCACTGTCGTTCTGATTGCAGTGCAGTAATCGTCCCAGATAGTTGGCGAGTTCCGACTCCATTAGTACCTCAGTGAAGTGCGACATTCTTTCAAGATGTATTCTTTAATTGTTCCAATGCATTCAGCCTTGTCTCAGAAAAGCTCCATTTAAGAAGACCTCATAGTAGAAAGCCAAGGGGTTATTCTCAAGTGACTAGGCACATACCTTTTATTCGTGATAACTCATTGTTCATTGTGCATGAGCAACCGTTCCTTCCCAATGAACGTTGTGCACCTAATGTACTCTGCTCTTGCTTACCTGTACTCCGTCAGTTGTGGCCGTTAGTCACTTCGCATCTTTACCAAAAAAGTAATATCAAGTTTGTCAGTTACTCTCTTTAACAAGCGAATGTGCCTATGATGGTTACAGTACAATATTTACACAGGAACGAGTACATATATGTAGTTTGGGGGTTGCGTTTAATTACGCACTGCTATCCTTAGTAATGTCTATAGTCAAGAGCTCGATAAGTTGCCATTTGTCAACTCTCGAGGATACAGTTTCGTTTTCCACACCCGTTCATGCCACACTCCTGAGAAGCAGCAAATAATCGATTCTCCCTCCGATTACCTTTATCACTAAAAGCCGTATGTTAAGCTCCAGTAAATATATGTTTAAGTGCAGATGGGTATGAAAGCACAGAAATGAGATACCGTTAGTAACTAAAAATGTGCTTCTTAACCAGGGCATTAGATCGAGGAAAGTGTGTTATCCAGAAGGTTGAAAAGCATGGGTTTGCAGAATCTAATTGCTTCTGCTTCCCATTCGGTGATAACTTGTTATTTGTGTCAGCTGGTATAAAAGGATGACTGTACAAAATTGAATGCTTACATGAAAGTCTATTTGCCATACCTAAACTTTTCTGTGGCATAAGAGTTATGTGGTTGGCAGTACACAGAGGCAAATGTAGGATTATGGCATATAAGGAAGAGGAAGCAAACGTTAATTGGTGATATAAACCTTGTATGGAATATTCCCCTCACGCACACTCGAAAATCTCACCCCAAAGGCCAATTGTGATATTTGCAACGGTCTCCGTATTTTAAGTGTACCGTAGTATCAATCCCGACGTTTCAAGTGCACATTGTATGTGTGCTAGACTTAGTATTACATTGGCGATCCAAACATTTGGTTGGATCTGCTGCCCGATAATCCATACCAAATAAACGGATGGCGCGAGTGGTAAAGTTGGACTAATCTGACAGATGGTTAACACTCACCCAATAGTTTCCGGTAGAGACAACATAACGTTCCACGAGAATTAAGTTCCTCTGATGGTTCGCATCATGGACTACATGGCCAAACTCGTTTAATGGCTCAAACGAATTCGTAGGACTGTTCGGGAGTAGAATCGTAAATATAACTACTACAGTGTCTTAGTCATATTACAGAAGATAGACATCAAAATGCTGTTGAAAGTGAAGCTTTCCAAAGCACTAAAATCGCTTATCATGAGGACGTTTGTGGCTCACCAAGTTATCTGAAGGCAAAGCTGGGGAACAAATGGTTCAAAGCAGAACATTAGAATTAACGTCTCTTACTCCCACAGAAAATCAAATGTGTCAGGGTGCTTACAATTTACATCGCATGCTGGGTTTAGGTGCACATGTTCCGTGAGGCTGCGGTCACTGCAATGGTATAAAACTTGTGCTCCTGTGGATTCTCTTGTAAGTCGCATGCATTCCCCCAAGCGTGTCCAGTGTATTGAAAATGAAATGGAAAACTATGGACAATAAAATGCACTGCGGTTTTATTAAGCTAAAATGTGCATTGATAGATACACAGCGTCTTTCAATTGAGCTTCTACTGAGCACCAAACCCAGCGGATTTGCTCAAGTCAAAGACAAAATCTCTTTTCGTTCTTCGTTGAGGGCGCATACAAAGGTGCCCACTGTACAAAGTGACTCTTCAACCAAACTGGTTAGTACATATGAAGATTTCAGATAACTCGTATAACTGCAAAACATGGGAATGAGGCGGAATCGCAATGTTTCCGTGGTGCTCAGAATGTGTCTCTGCGCACGAGATTTGAAAGTATTCTTAGACAACCATAACAATCGTTCCTTAACGCGCAATCAGGAAGTGATGATATCAGAATTCACACCCGAATTTATTTTCTGTGACTAGAGCTATTGTTAACCTTTTTCTCTGATACTGCCTGTGTTACCAAAAAATGATAAAACACGGCACACTTTCTACGCACGCCATCACAGTCACAGACAATGGGATGATGTCCTCTCAGACATCTTCAGGTCAGTTTGTGTCCTCATGGGTAGTTGTCTGCTCTTCTGTCAGTAAAATGGGCCTAGAAAAGGCAATCAATCAGCCAAATTCGGCGAAACCAACAGTTGCACGACAGGGCAACATGTCAGTTGCTTCATCAGCGTTCCAACTTGACTTCCATTGTGTTTCTCTAGAGAAGAAAATTTTGCATCCTCAAGGATTAGTTTAAAACTCAAAATTATTCATCACCGTAAGAGTTAGTTTTGATAAACACTCAGACTTTGGTTCACTTTGGTAAAACGACCTTACTAATGATATTATTAACATAGCATATATTCTGCATTTTAAGGTGACATAATTGAAGAGAATTAGCAGATAACTAAATGAAATGTCAGTGCACGAATCGCGATTTGATGGCTTGAGCGTAACATCTCGCAAATCAGCATTTTTCAGGGATTCCGATGTTGTTCTACTAACTACTGTGGGTTTACATGCTCGGTAACTAGTCAACTGAAGCCTGCACCCATGGCTTCATTCTTTCAGGTCCAGTTGTTTCTTCATGTACATAGGCCACCTGGTCAGCTATACTCGTCCAATATATATAGATACCAACTTGTCCACACCAGAAACTATCAACAGTGTTCTATACATTTGTGCTGGCCACATACTGTGGATTACTCGCTTATAATACCAATGTATGCGGAAGGTCGTAGAACACTGTACAGAACAGCAGCAACTCAGGACTTAACAATGTTCTTTCACGTAAATCGCCTAACATTAACTGACCGCAGTCCAGTGGACTTGTGTACTTCATTCTACCATCCTCATACCATAGCAGCTGAAAATCAAGCTCCATTCTGCATGTCATCGTCCACTTGTACACATTTTCAACGCAATCATCTGAAGCCTTGTCCATAATTATGTCCATCTGACGGCAAATGTCATAATGTGTAAACCAGCCATGGGTTTCCCATGGGGCATTTTTCACAGAATCAACCACTACGTTTAAGTCGGTCGCGGTTTCGATTCACCGAGTTTTATTGAGTATTACCATCGCGCTACTTAATAGTAACTTTCAACCCAGTAATCAATGGTTAGAATACAGAAGAACTAACTTGCTCGGCCCTCCCAGTAGGAGATCGTGTCTGGACTAGCAATTATTGTGTATCATTCACAGTTTCGTTTCCTTTCGGTTAAACTTCAGGGCAATGGCTTTGGCTACAAATCCCAATTATTCTCCTTCCAATGTATCTGCTCAAGGGTGTGATTTCAACGAGCGTAAAGCCACGAACCTATCAGTACACAAGGAGTGGACGGTAACTCAGCAAGGTCGGACTTTTCATTAGTTTTATGTAACACGTTGACCGTACTTGAAAGGAGGAAGCTTGGTGAGAATGTTAAATTGAGTAACAGCGTGTGGTCATCTACAGATGCCTGTCGCTTGGAATGAAAGCAATAAACATTTACCTATATTGTGGTAATGTTACAATCAACTGACGATGCGCAGAAATCAGCTTAATGCCTCTGTGGATTTTACCGCCGCAGTCAAAGTCGATTTGTGAGGTAACTCAAAATGCTAAAATCTCCAATTATTTTCTCACTCAATAAGGTTGGCATCTTGCTATTGCGGAAGAACAGAACACATGCAACATACTCCTGCTTGTTGGCCTTGAATTTGAAGTGCCAGAACTTCCAGATCGTGAACATTGAAGTCACCTGCAATAAGAACATAGCTTCACCGTCGTCGCAGGACCCTTCCCATGGTTAATGTCAGCCAGCAGCCAAGCTCTGGGGTGGACATTGGTAGACCATAAAACCCTGCCACAAGTCGTGGTATTGTGTCTTAGTCGCAGACTGCACCATGGTGAGTATGTGCTCAATGTTTCGGAATCCTCCGCTGAAGCATTGCAGGTCCCTGCGGGAGTACAAACATATCTCACCGACCTTGCTGATGCGATCGTTTCAGCGTCCATAATTTCTGAGTGCAAACAAATTTTAGTTAAGACGATGGGGTCCAAGTCGTATGATCAGCGATCTTGCTGACGATACGTTGTGCACTAGTATTCATGCAAGTGAGTTGCTCTGCTCTCCGTTTCGAGACGAAGGAGATGTGTTTTGGTTTCGACATTGATTCACGGTTGCCATTCATCCTTTTTCCGGTGGAGTCGTAACAAACAAATTGCGCAGTTTCAACGTTTTCAACATTTCCTTCTTGATCATATCGTTGTATTAATGTATTTGGTGTGACCACCAGTTCCCTCAGCTAGATGAATAAGGTTACTGGAAAGTTGTCCGGGTGTTTTTCACTTAAACTGCCGCTGCCGTGTTTTCGTTTCATGGATACTGCTTTGAGTTGGAGCTCCAAAAGTAGTCTGCGGCGGTGCTTACTTATGCACTCCAATACCATTGTCCACATGTGCCTGATTCCAAGCAACAGTTTCATAATTTAGGGCCACACATCCTTTGCAACTTGATGATCTACGTAGCCACAAAATATATTGCGTCATAACCTTTCCCATGGAGAGCGTCTCACGAATGTAGTGCTACACTTCCCAGTCGTTTCCTGGTCTTCCTCATCGTTTCGCGCTCATACTTCCCCCGAGTCTCGGAAACACCATTCACAGTAATCGTCGTGATACAGACTCCATTCAGTATTTCTCCAAGTCGTCCTCCCTCCGGTTTACGTTCCCTCCGCAAAATCTCCGGGAAAATACGGATAGAACAAGACTCATTTTGAAGATTAGCTTAGTCTACCAGAAAGGCTTCTGCTTCATTGGCGTAGTCAATATAACCGGAACTTCCCTTTTACCACAATGCTTTAAGTTTGGATGATGTGTGATCTAAATATTAGGCTGTTGGACTTCTCTACAACGTCTGAGTTGAGGTCAACCGCCCGACAGTCTGAACCCGACCGATGAATGTTGTGTACGTCCCGGCTAATCTCCATTTACTGTGGATTCAGTGGCATCAACTGAAGACAAAACTTTTCAATTGCTCATGGTTGGTATCCTGTTAAAACCAACACTCCGACCACAGCCCTTCTGGTCCTTTGGAACAGTTTAGTAGGGGAGGAGACAATTGTCGCATTTATTTCTAGCGGATTACAAGAAGCTAATGCAGGTTTAGTTGGACGACTGTTATGTGTAGACGTTAACTCACGTTCACAGCTACATGTGCCGCATTTTAAACGCGCTGCATATGCTTGAGGCTTAGTAAACTGGAGAGGACTGTTATTCGCTATCTAACACCTTTAATCCTAATGAATTGATTTTCGCCCCTTCATTTGTTCTATTGTTGCTACCAGCCATACGGATGGCTGAGGTAGATTTTATCCAGGCTTGACAAGTAGGATGACTTTTATACTGAACAGAATGACATACAGACTGGCTTACTACTGTACAGCTTCACTTTGTGTGCCGCGAGCCCAGCACACCAAATATGAAGATTACTAATTCAACCGGAGCAATGGATTTCTGAACGTACATTTATCTGGTACATTTCGCATATAGCTTGGTGTACTTCGTTTGCCTGTTACAACCCATTGTGTCCCATTGTCACTGTATAAATGCAGCTTACATTAATATCGGAGCGCTTGTATGAAACTCAAGGTCAGTATGGAAGTTTGTGGCTGTCTATTGCAAGCTGAATGGGCGAAGCCTGCTAATAGCGCCCCAGTAGCAGGCTGAGCTGTGTCATATCGCGTTGCGGAGTAGCTAAGTCGATTACGTCTTTCACTCAGTTGTTGCTCATTGGCACAAACAAAGCAACTAAGTAATAAAAATTAGTCCAGGTTCAATAGCGTGTGTACTTAGTGATTGATAAACGTGGTTGATAGCTCATCGTTTAAGTTTCTGTTTTGACTTTCGTTTGATACCACATGTGTTGTTGTGCAACTCAGGTGTTGGAAAATTGTGCACATGTATTTCCGCTGGAAGAGTGCAAAATCTGTGATGTGGAAATAAAAGATGTCTTACACTGCTTAGATCCAAAAGCTTAAGTGTACTAAAGAATGCTCGTTAAGTAATCTCGAATGCGTATAAGCACGTTTGTGTGAGTGAGGTACTGCGTAGGTAATTCCTGGTGAATTACCAAAGCAGAGAACGGAACAACTCGAAAGGAAGTAAACAGGCGCTGGTGGCATTCCATACAAATGTAATGTGCCGCCTCAAGTGTTGGTGAGGCGGTTGGTATGCAAATATCGTGACTGTCAATCTTTATTTTAATCCCTTATGACACTACTAAGTGGTCAGCTTTCTGTCGACTACGCCGCATACCCTAGGCAATTGAGGCATTCTGTCTAGATCGGAGGAAGTGTTAAAGGTTTATTGGCCCTTGTCTTTCGATCCTGATCCTAACTTTGCCGCGCATGAATCTAATTGGCCTGGATTTGAGCTCCCTCACGATATCCTTCTTGGATGGAAAAAGCTGAGGGGAAATAGTATAATCATACCGCCTGAACGCCTCCCACGCAATCCTGATGGATAAGTTTCCTGACAATGACGCAAATATGGACTGCGATAAAGTTGATTTGGTTGAACAAGTTTCAGGTATTCCATGATAAAGTACATGAGTTGATGCTACCGATCAGGGTAATAGAAAATCCTCAAAGAGTATCTCATGTGGAGTCACTTATCTGGCTTGATACCTGGCGAAAGCGGAGATAGATGATAGCCATAAGATGTGTGCTTACGTTAGTCGGCTGTAAACACTAACAGACTGATTGGAATACTCGTGAAGTTGTGCGATCCAGTAACTAGCAATATTGTGTTGCGCTGGTAGCACAACCACCTTTGCCAGGATACTTGTTTCGGTAACTTTTGTCCTGCTTTAGAATTCCTTGCCAGAAGGTATCGAATTCAAGATCTTCACCAATTGCGACAGGCTCCACACGTGCAGTGCCTCGTCACACTTCCGCGAGCAACACACACCCATGGTACACTGTTAAACGCAGGCTGTATTGGGGAACACCAAGCACTAGCTATGAGTAATTTACTCTTCTTGTACATCTTAATGCACACAAGAGTGGTCTCACGTACGCATTTAGCCAAGGATACTTGACAGCTAGATTATTTGGCTGTCAACTTTCAATTATTACAGTGATATAAAAAACATACCTATCATTAAAGGGGATAGCAACCCAATGGGACAAATGGTTGTGATTTACGAGCCTCTGCTCTCTCTAGCCATTGCCATGGCTGCATGCACAGTTACTATGATCTAATTGATCGCGAGTTAGAAGGAGAGGAACTGTGTGGAACAATACACCTAGCATCCAATCTGGATGCAGCAAACTACTGCTGGTGTTTAGTTTTTTATTTATCACAGTTAGATCTGTAATCATGTTACGGTTAATAATAGGGTAAGGTTTATTAACTATTTCGATTGCAGCTTTTCAAGTGACCAAAAGCGTTTTAATCTAACCATTTCTTGTGAAATACATGTAGTATTTTCGTTCACGACCTCTTTTATCACCAATTCTTATAAAACCTTGGGCAGATTGATGCGTGTATTGGTGAATAACGCAGGTCTCGAAAACAATTGATCGCCATGGCTTGGATACACGAAAATAATAAACCTAGCCACGTGAATCGCACACCAGTGCAAGTCATTTTTGCTTATGACGCTTCAGCCTTGGCTTCTGCACTTATGACCATTAGCGCTTGTACAGAGTTATCAGTATCTATGATAAATGAAACATCAACGGAACGCTGCTCGCCCTTAAGTGGTGACAAACTGGCCGATAGAACTCATGTATTCTACTCATCTTTACTTGCCACCTGTCAATGTTCCATCTAAGATGTAGCCTACTTCTTTAGTGGGGTTTTAGTGTTCTCAAGTTCCAAGCACTCATCGGCTTTACACGTTTTCCCCTGGCTTATTAATGAGAGCGTCGTGTTTTCGTTTGCATCAGCTAAATCCCGGTTATTT